AAAATGTGAGACTCCAGTCAAGGGCTGTTTGCTGGGTCAGGAGTTAGGTACTGATACCATGGCAGTCTGAGAGCAAAACCAGACAGCTGCCCCAGGGAAATGCATGTTCTGAGCCAAGGCTACAACATCTGTCATACCTGTAGCTGCTGTTACGCGAGAGCAGCTGAGCTGATCCTTTATTAAAAAGATCTGTGAAAACCAAATTCTTTCAATCAACAGAAGATGTCATAGCCAAGAGTCAGAATGGATGTTTCAGATTTTTAGCAGTGTAATTGCAGCCAGAATTTGGCCTATTATTTCTGAGAGAAGTTATCCAGGAGTGATCAAAGAGGCTATTGCAGCAGCTGCAGCCTCATGTTCTGCTAGTGGCACGAGGGGTGTGACAGTCACCAGCGCTGACATTTACATCACGACTGTAGCCCGCAGGGTTAGTGACTTTCTGCAGCGAGCAGCGACCCACTCCTGTGGCTTGGCACAAGCTGAAAAACAGCTGGCACAAAACGACTGTATTACTGCTTACCCTGCAGTGCAGCTTGGGGCAGTCCAGCTTGCTGAAACTAAGGGGGCAAAAATGAGTGAAGAGAGTTGTTAGGTTAATTGCTATAAGACGGTGCAGAAAGGAGAAAGACCTCCCATTTTGGCAGTGGCAAGGGGCCGTCTAACACGCAACGCGAAACTGCATCCTCAGAATTGCTCCTTAGACCAGCTACTATTTCTCCCTGCTGCCAGTCTTCGGGATTTTCTTCAAAACCTTTGGTTACCAAATTGCAGAACATGTGTTGTCTTAGTCAGAGATACACATTTCTAATTCTCAGTACATCCTTATGTCCTCTTATCCCATGGAAGAACTAGGGCAGAACTTTGAAATTTGCTAGCAGCCTAAAGCAGGCTGTGCAGCACAGCAGGGTGCACTCAGAGAAGGTGTTTAGTGGGTCACTGGTGTGTATGTGCTGCTGGCATAGCCAGTGCAGCCAGCCGACCATCTGTTCCTTAGCAGTTCGTGGTCCATGCGCTGCTCTAGCACTACCATGCACGATCAGCCTTTAGCCTGCGCTGAGCATTCCCACTCCCTCCAGCAGCGCTCCTGGAGCAGGAGATGTGCTGGGAAATACAGCCCGTGTTCTTCCTCGGGGCAGACAATATTTAGCTCTTAATTTTGTATGTAACCAGAAACCATATGTCTCCGATGCTGTTGTACAAACGCATCCTTGTCTTAGAGCTATTTTTTTTCTTGTGTTCCACTGTTATTCACTGTATTTAACTCCCTACTATTACATGAAATTAGTTTTACCATGTTGAATCATACCATTGAGGAGAGACAATGTTGCTTACACTGGAGAAATTAATCACACGTTATTTTAAGCTTCCCACAGTATTATTTTGTGTCCTATATCTTGTGATTAATCTGAAAGTAATGCTGGAAATTTAGAAGTATTTTAACTGCTTAGCTCTCTTAACAAGCACAACAGCATTTATATGCAGTGACACAATGTATCTCTCAGCTTGAATTATTACCTAATAAGTACTGACAGTATCTTTGATTCAATATATAACTGTGATACCAACACAGTGTCTGTTCTGAGTAAAGTTACAGCCTCGCACTGTGATCCTGATATCAGATCCACGTGGGTAGATCCTTGTCCTTATGCAGATTCCCAGGAGATCCCTTCCGAACAGATTGCTCATGGCTGAAAATATCATCATGAAGCAAAACGTATTCCTAAAGCAAGAATTTATCAGGTGTTTTTGTTGAGGCTTGACAGAGCCGATGTCCACGTGGCAGTTTGAAATACTGTCCACATTATAGTTTTTTAGTTAACTAGAGTTGTTTTTGTCCATAATAGTTTTTTAGTTAACTAGAGTTGTTTTCTATGAATTACACTCTTGAATGTTTTTAATTAACAAAACTAAATTTTGGCTAATGCTGGATTTTTTCAATCCAAGTAAGCCAGCTTAAAGTAAAAAATAAGATGAAGCTCTGGCAAGCACATTCAGGTCAGCCCTTCACTAGATAAATTGTATAGCTTTGGTAAGGGCTAGTCTCAAAGATTGGATCACAGCACATAACAATATATTAAAAAACATTGGGAGAATTCCAGCATCCAGTATTAAGTGGGTAATTGTAATTCCTGCAGGATAAAGAATGATAAAGTAAAATGCTTTAATCCTCCATGAATTTGTCTAACATTTAATCTAGCTACTAACCATATGATATTTCCTTTCTCGAGCAGTCTCAATTTGCTCTTAATTCCACTAATTAGGACTACAAAACTGAGGCAGAAAGCAGAATGGCCCAGCAATTAAATTCATGATTTTTGTTTAAGCTATGGCCCATTCACAAACAGAGCTGAGCAGCAGCCTCTGTGACTCTGGGCTTCACCTTTGCCTAATAGGTTTTCCTATAATCATCACAGTAGCACTTTGCACTTCTGCAGCAGCTTTCACCTGCTCATCTCGAATCACAAAGCAAACACAAGCTAACCTTAAGGAAGCCTTTAACAGTCTGGAAGCAAAATTCCCTCCAGAGGCTTAAGAAGACAGTAATGACAGTAATGACCTTTCCTCTGCAGTGCTTCCCCCGCCTGTAAACATCCTCTCCAGTTTTCCCGGGCCAGCTTCATCCAGCTGTTTCCCCGCTCCGCCAGGGCCCTGGGGCTCAGGCAGAAGGTTTTGTCTGCATCTGATACAGAAGTGATGTGCAGCTGGGTGTTGTCTGTGCTTTGCCTACACATACGACATCTGGACCAGAGAACCATTGGCATTTCTGGAAGATTTGGAGCAATAATTCTGTGCTGTATCGCACTGGTCTTGCTCTGCACTGTCATTACTAGGAACAAAAGCCCTGCCAGCAGCAGCCCGGTACTTGAGTGTACAGCTTTACTTCCAGCAGCACAGGATGCAAGCATCTTAACCTAAATCATTCCAAAGAAATGAAATTATATGTACAAAGGCACAGTATTAGTGTAACTCAACCAAGATAAATTATAACAATTTCTTTTATATAGGCAAGTATAAAGTATATATATATATATGATTTCTTCTGATACTGTATCTCCACAGAGCATCATCATACATATGGCTCTTAAGCAGAATTAGTGGAAGGAGATGTTGCCACACTGTCTCTTATAATATATCTATTATATCTCATATATACTGTTATCCCACAGTAAATGCCAGATGTTTTCAGGCTGCAAGGAGCAGGTCATCTGAACTGTCTCACATTCACTAAGGGGAGAAAAGATCAGGACTGTTAACGAAGAGTAACTACAGTGCTGCACATCAACAGCGTTTCCTGACATTTGCTTGCGCCAAAGCCTTATCAAAATGACACATGATCCCTTTATATGGCATGTCTGCTCTCACGCAGCAGGACAGCAGAAAAATCTCATTTTCAATCTTCTCTCTCGATCATTAGACAGCACTACTACCCTTTAATTAAAATTCTGCTCTCTCTGCTTGACCCTGAGTTGGATAATTAATCATCTGTTTACCGTAATTGCTCCCAGTGCTGGATGCTACGGAAACAGATTCAACTTCATAATTTTAAGTGTGACCATAATGTTGCATTAAGGTCACTTAAAATAGCAATAAAATTGTTTTTTTCTAAGCTGGTGCTGCACAGAACACTCCTGCTGCAAGCCTACTAGCAGCAAGCATATGCTGCTGCAAAGAGGAAAGCAGGGCTGGAATACACCTCACTTCAGCATATGTTTAACTGAACATGCGTGCAGTGACTCTCCTCTGAACAAGAACATACTTTTCACCCACACATGCTTAAACACTATCCTGTCTTGGGGCCTAAGCTGGGTTTTCAATAAAATGTCCTTTGGTCAGAGAATTTAAGGGTTTTGTTTTGAACAAACCGATTTATACGGAAGAATATAATTGGGTCACAGAGTGCTGAATTGGGTCATAGAGTGCTGCTTTCTGTTGCCCCAATGTTCAGAAGCTTTGGGCTGCAAATAAATTAGTTCTGAAAATGATCCTGTTAGAATGATCACAGAAATCTTGATGCCCAAATGTTACATGGAAATATCTGCCTTTTTAGCTTTTTATCCCCATCCATACTGGTTCCTCTTTGAAGCCTCTAGAGGGTGTGCTCTCCATTTCAAATTAGGATTGAATGTCTTTGTACAAGTAATAATCTAGCTCAAAACGAAGTTTTAGCTCCAGATGCTGCTAGTGAAATGGTAAGTCAGTGTTATGCAGAAAGTCAGGAAAGAAGGTAACAACAGTCCCTTTAGAATTAAAAATTTCTCAATTTCACTGCACATTTCTCAGCATGTAGGCATGATTCCCCTCAGTAGAGCAGCTATGAGCAGAGATGAAACTTTTTCTTTTACTCTGTCTCTAGCTCTGAAGGCTCAGAATTACTAAAATAAAATCTATCACAGACTGCAGCTATAGTCTGGATTCTTTTCATCAGGAATCAAATCTTCATTTTGAAAAGCAAAATGTTCTCAACAAAACCACTGCAAAGTCTGTGTCACTTATAAGTTTAGTGATGAGGGCATATCAGAAGGTATTGGGGTGATCTCACAGCAGTGCTTACAAGTCCCAAAGTAGATTACAGCAGACGAGCCCAGGATCTCTGGATCACATCCCTGAAGACAGACTGTCTTGAACAGCTCATTATTTAACTAGACAAGACAAATTATGGAGTAAAGGAATATTCCTCTCCCCAGTGAGCAGATGGAAAAGGGAACGATAGCAATTTTGTTGACTGAGTCACTACATGGAGGCTGTCTCTGAGCTAGGAATTGAAACTAATGCAACTGGGTCTCACTCTAGGTATTGAGGATTGAGTCCCAAAACTATCTTTCTGAGGCATCATCTCTGTGTTGTGCCTTGCTCAGTGAGTTACAATGATACAACATGGGTGGGAGAGCGTGGCAGCCGTCTGCACTCATTCAGCACTTGCTCTCCAGGAGGGAGACGTGATAGATCCTGAAATTGCCTTCAGCCCCGTTAAAACAAAATGTCCTTTTGTTCATTCCTAGGAACATGTTTCCAGCCAATCTTGTTGAGGCCACATTCAAACAGGTAAGCGGCTGTATTTCTCTTACTGTTGATGAAAGCAATGAACCTTCATCATGAATAAGATATATGTCACGTCCTAGTAAAGCAGAATCCAGATATAAACAATATATGCTACATCAGATGCCACTAATACCTTCAGCATTAAGAAATTACTGAACCTTTTTCCATTAGCAGTATTGCATTGTAGGACATTAATTATTAGGCTACATGACCCTTCAACATGATTCTATGCACTATGCTGTTACCTTCCTCTCCTGATGAGATTAAAAAGTCCATGTATCCTTAGCAGCAGAAGTAGATGAACAGTTTAGAGCACTAAGCAACTTCATATCTGTACAATGTATTGTATATATCCTGGATCACAGGTGCTCTACTTGTCTCACCAACTATCTTAGAGTATCACAGATTTTGTGAGGAGGATGGTTTGTAGCTCCTGAGCGTGGGCAGGAGAGGAGTTGGAGGAGGGATGTTTGCAGCTCTCAGGTACAACAGGGCTCTTAAAGCACTGGGAACAGATTTGCTGACCAGAAACAGCAAATTTTATAATATTATCTTAAAAAATAGGGAAGATGGGAGCAATAAACAATGCAGATAATAAATGCCTGTAGAGCAGCTACCAAGAAAGCAAGGAGGGACTGATTTCTAATGAAAATATAGATTGGAGGCCAATTTCTCTTTGAGGGGAGAAGCATCTCCTGGTTTTGGTGAGAAGAGGGACTTGGAAGCAAACTTCTTCATTTTCATTGTAATCCTTGCTCTGTTGCAGAATCATCTGCTACCGTAAGCTAAAATCTTTCCCTTTGACATGAAGCCGATTCTTTCAGTATCGCACCAAGACTATTCCCATCATTAAATCCAGCAAAGCATCATCTGAAAGCACCACTCATCGCATTATAATATATGGAGTCCAGGATGAGAATGGATCCAATGTCCAGAATTTTGCCTTGGACATCACTCCCCCTCCTGAAGTGATTTACAAATCAGAACCAGGCACTAGTGATGGCATGAATGTGCTAGGGATTGTGATATTCTCTGCAACCATGGGTAGGTTTCAGATATATTTGACTTGTAAAAATCCACATATCCATTTAAGTGGGCAAAACAGAGGTTGAGTTGTTTGGATTCTTGTCTCCTTTTTTTAACTGAATCTATATAAACTTTATGGAAAAAAATATTACAGAGGTGTTCTCACAATCTTTGAAAAAAATGTTCAAAATTCTTGATAAATTATTCTATGCTGTTCCTCCATTCCACAGAGCAAAAATAGAAATGTTTTACATCAATTTTAAAGATGGTTAGTCTGAGGCATCAGATCATCCCATCCTCAGAACTCTGTATGCCAGCAGCAGTGTCATTAACTGAGTGGTACCAGGGGGACAAGAGCTAAGCATGATTTCTTTCGTTCTTCTGGGGAATAAGTGAGCAGAATTTGGTGCTCGGGATGACTCAGGGAAGCTTTCTATTGCTACAGGCACAGCAAACATAAATAAACAAGTCACTCGCAGACTTTTTTTTTCCCAAAATCCAAGAAGACAGGGCATTTCTAATGCCCAAAGCACCAGGCTTTGTGTCATGGGAACAAAATAACCCTCACACACAAATGCCCTGATTTAAGTCCTTCCCACCTCGCAGAGGTGGCTTTTGCCCTACAGTCTGCCCTATCTGAGGATCTTATCACTTTATTAGCGTAGAACCTGTGTCACTTATTTATGTAAGAAACAATCCACATAGTTGGCCTTTGTGATGTCTTGGTAAATGGGTTACAGAGGTAAATGTATAAACATGCCCTAGTTAGTCTCAACCAAGGTGATTACATGATGAGTATTACAAAAAAAATGCTGATGAAATTATCTTTATCTAAATTTATTCTTGGGCATTAATCTGCTCTGCAAATAGAGTTCTATAAATTTCTTTCACTCTTTTTATTATATTCTGGTTCACTCTAGCATGAGGTATCAAAATCATGTATTAGCAGATTTGTCTCAGTTTCTTTGTTTCTCTGGAGTGTGCTATTCTATATGCAATGCTGCTGGCTGTCCCCTGGTTTGTAATGCTTTGTATTGGATTCCCAAAGTACTGTATTGCAGTGAGCAATATTGGCAAAAAGTCCTGACTATTTAAGTAATTACACATCTTTATTAGAATCAAGGGCAATTATATAATTATATAACTCTTGCTGGCCCAGGATAAGGGGAGGGAAGCTGAGAGCTGCTTCTCCCTGGTGCAAGTACAGTAAATGTGCTGCTATTGTGTCAAAGTACCAGCTGCAGATAAACCTGAGACACTAAACCCTCAAATCTTGTCATATTCTGATTATTTCAGACTGTTGTTTTGAACTGAGGACACAGGCCAACATTTATCACTGTCTTCAGCTTTCTGCCTCCTCCTAAAACACTGAAGCACTAAAGCAGAAGGCATGCAGCTTTAGTCTCTAAGGAAGAAGAGTATCCAAAGTTTTTGTTTCTTCCAAAAATTGTATCCAGGCCTTGGTGCTCAGTGACAATTTTGGTCACTTGGGCTGAATCTTACTTGCATGAAGGTCTCTTTACAGCACTCTAGCATGGCATTAGGGTGGATATGAGTTATTATTAGAGATTTTTTTTAAGCTCCATGAGCAGCATCAGAAAAGCATCAAGGAGCTCTAAAACATCAGACATGAGCCAACCATCTTTTCCTTTTCCTGAAGTAGGAGATGAAATTATTCGTAATCTTCAATTAGGCTTAAATCACATGCATGAATAACTGAGCTTCTTAGCCAGACATGCACTAAAATGGGCAGCCTTGGACAGCCAAGAGCGTGAAGCCAGGACATACTAAAAGATGATGCTGGGTGTTCCCCGGGTTGTGACTAGCTGTACTACTTCGGCATAGACAGTGTGCAGGAATTTCTGTTGGGAATTATGGCAAGTGGGTAACAGTTGAGATATCAGATCTGTTTTTCTTGGAAAAGGCCACGTTATTTATTAACTGCAAGGAAAACGTGGGTTTCCTTGGACTGGAATGGAGCTTGGCACACCAGGGCTGTGGACAGGAGGCCCCAGTGATGTTTGCCGCATTGTGCTCAGATAGGCAAGTCTTTTATAGAACAAACAATTTATTTCTATAAAATAAAAGAATAAAATTTCTTCTTCTTGACATTATGTAGAATTAGAGGCCATATTACTCTTGGATTCTTCTAAACTGCCACAGCTTAATAAAACCAACCAGGCATCAAATGCCAAATTGAATTTAAAATTCTTTTAGTACAGATGAGGAACATGCTTAATAAAAGAGTGGTGTTTTCCAACCTAAAACTTATAGCTTCGATGAATGTTAACAAGCTTATAAACCCACATCTTGAGTGCATGGTTGTTGTGAAAGCATTAGATAAGACACCGCTCCCTCGCTGCTTTGGCCTGTTACAGCCTGACCTGACCCAGCTGCAGACAGATGTGGCCTCCCAGGGTCCAAGGCTGGGCTGCCCTTGGAGCACGTGCCAGCACGTAACCCCTGCCCAGCCCCTGGCTTCCTCCTGAACCCCCCTCCCAAGGCTGCCTCAGCTGCTGCACTGCGTTTTTGGAGTGTTTCCTTGAGTAATTAACTCACTCGTAATCCTTTCAGGCAGAAAATTAATACAATGGGAAAACAATGTATATTTATATGCCTTTTTAGAGAATAATGCTGACTGAGAATACGTGGATATCTAACGCATCCCAAACCTGTGTCTTTTCCTTTCCTAATACTAGCTCAGGCAAATGGATTTTGCTTGTTTTCCTTGATAGTTAGACTAGATAAGAATCAGGCTTTTCTTCACATGAATTTTCACTTCCTTTTCTCCCCCAAGTTTGCTAAGTCCAATCAGTTGTGAGGGCTGATTGTTATTATGTAGACAGATATCAAGTGAAAACTGGGTGGAATGCCCCATATTAATTTGCTCCAAATATATATAGGCCCAGATATTTGCCCTGAGAGCATTGCCCATTTGTAGGAAGGAACTTCAGGCTTGCAGAGACAACAGCTTTAACTAGACAGTGTTTCTCATTCTGTCTTTCAGGGATCCCTCAGAACAGGTAAATCTCAGAGCTTCATGAAAGATAGTTAAGCAAACAGGCTTAGTTTAATAATTAGTAATAGTAATCAGAAGGCCTAAAACCAAAGCACGGAAACAGCAGCTCCACTGCTTTTAGGGAATCTAGCTTTAGGGAAAGCTTTTAGGGAATTGCAAAATCAATAAAAAACAAGGGGTTAGGTGACAGAGCTCTAGGTAGCCAAAAACAATGGTTCCCCTATGTTCTCTTTGAATTAGAGAAAGGAGGGAAAACACCAGGGATTTGCATGAAGGTACATGAGAATTTAAACATGAATGCATTTGTTTGCAGGTATAATGCTAGGAAGAATGGGAAACAGTGGTGTTCCTTTGGTCAGTTTTTGTCAGTGTTTAAATGAATCTGTCATGAAGATAGTGGCGGTTGCTGTTTGGTAAGTAACCATTTTATTAAGAAAATCATTTTTTTGTTTTAAAGAGAACAGGAGGTGATCAGCAAAAGCAAAAGCAAAAGCTAGCCCTGTAAAATTGGTGCATTTTTGGCAAATGTGCTTATTTCATGCTTAGGTTTGTATCCTACTAAAATAACCACTGCTATAGCTCCATAACGTCAATGGAATAACAACTTAGATTATTTCAAGCTTATTTTTTTTTGTCCAAAATTCTCCCTGACCTTTTTTCTCCAAAATTCTCCCTGACCA